GGGGGGACGACACGACTCCACAAATGCACTGAACAGAAAAAGAATTAAATCTTGTTATTCAGTCTGTGTCTTCTGTTGTTCAGTAGAATTTAATATGAGAAAGTTTAATTAGTACAGAGACATTCATTCCCACAGGGTATATTTGACTCCTTTCTAACAACCATCCCTTCCAGCTACGGATCACGTAACAATGAATATAAAAACTTGGAGTAGGAGAATTCTTTCAAATTCATATTAAGCTTAGGTATCTACCCAAACAAGAGAAAGTATAACTGAGTCACAGTACCTCCTACTTATCTCAAGTCACAGCTTCAGTTACTTGTGGTCAACCAAGGTCCAAAATATTATCATAGCGCAATGAGATATGGAGGTAGTCTGAGAGTGACAATGTTCACATAACTTTCGTTATCTCTGTGTTTTTGAGACAAGATCTGTTATGTACTCAGTTTGTAGGCCAGGCTAGTCTCCAGCTCACAGTCCTGTCATCTCAGTCTTCTAAGTGCTGAGATTACAGGTTTGAGACACCACGTCTGGTTCACATAACTTTTATTATTATTAATCTCTTACTATTCCTAATTTATAGTTTAAACTGTCGCAGAAATGTATATTTAGGATAGAATGGTCTAGCATCTTTTCTGAAAGTATGTCATTTAGGAGTATTAGTTTATAAGGTGTGCGTAAGTGTTTCATGTCAAATTTGAGGAGTACTGCATTAAATCAGTTTATAAGGGTTTTTTTTAAAGAGGGAGAAGTATAGGTCAATGGTATAGCACTTGCCTGCTGTGTGTGAGACTGTGGGTTCAAAGTCTACATACACACTTTTCTAATAAACCACTATTTAATTAAGTATAATCTTTAAGATGACAATAGAATGGATGGCATTTCCAATCTTATTTTACCACAGACACTCTTTTTTAAAAGGTCTCTAAAGATACCAGGTGGTGGTAGCGCACACCTTTAATCCCAGCACTTGGGAGGAGGCAGAGGCAGGCGGATCTCTGAGTGAGGCCAGCCTGGTCTACATAGTGAGTTCCAGGACAATCAGGGCTACACAAAGAAACTCTGTCTTGAAAAACCAAACCAACCAAACCACAACAACAAAAACCAAAAACCAACTCTAGAGTTCTACAGATGAAAGCCTAAAGCTACATGTATGAGGCAGGGGAAATGGAAACCAGACACTGAACTCAGTAAGTATTGCTTGAGCACCCACGTTAGGCTTCACAGCAAATGTTGAGTCTAAGAGCCAGAGGCAGAAAGAATAAACTGCCTTCCACAACCCAAGTATTTTAGTGCAATGTGATGCAGGTCTCTGGAAGGCACTAGGAAGGCTGGCAGGGATGGAGTAATTACACTAAGTCTTAAAAGGTAAGTAGATGTTGAAAAAGAAGGCAAAACCTGGTATGGTGGCACACGCCAGGACTTTCAGCACTCAGGAGGCTTAGGCAGGAAGGGTTCAAGTTTGAGGCCATCTTAAGTACAAAGCAAAACTTTGTTTCTAAATGAATAAATATGATGGGATAAAGACTGAAAACACTGTAAGCACCCCTAAGCCCAGAAACATACGAGTAAACTGTAGCACATCCATATTACCACATCTGAACTCAGCAATAAAAAAGAAATGTTACTAATACACATAGCAACAAGGGTGATACTTTAATACATTATTCTAAATAAGAGGCAGAAACAGAAATAAGAAGTGGAAACAGGAGTGTTATGGCTGGGCGGAGAGAAGAATATAAGGAAGGAGGAGACAGGAACTCAGATGCAGTCTGAGGTTTGGTGGAGACAGATGCAGTCTGAGGATGAAGTCTGAGAACGGGATCACCCCTTTGGACTGTGCACTGGTAGAGGTAAAAGGTTTCTAGTGGCTGACCCCACTGCTTCTCTGATCCTTCAGCCTTTACCCCCTAATATCTGGCTTCAGGTTTTATTTATTGAGACTAATTAGAATTGTGCTATACTCTGCCTCAAAATAAAAGGTAAAACGGGGATAGGGGATATGGCTGAGTGACAGAGCATTTGCTTATATGTGTGAGGCCCTAGGTTCAATGTTCAACAACATTTAAAAAAAGATTTGGTATAAACAGAATTATATACATTTGTTTCAACCATCAAGTACAACTACATTCTAAAAAGGTTGAATTTTACTATATCTGTAGTATACCTTAACACAAACAACAAAAAGGAGTGGGCTGAATGTGCTCATTCCAGAAAGGAGAACACAGTAGGACATGGGGACGTAAGAAGACAGACATGAATATGCTGTTCAGGCTCTCCTGGGAGAGCATGAAGGAGCAGAGGAAGGTGTTTTGTAAGCAACAGAATGCACATGAAGACTTCTGAGAAGTGATGTGTTTTAGAAAGCAACTCCTGGCTGCAGGATGAAGGAGCAAAGGCAATGAAGAGACTGCTGGAGAGTCTTGCACAACAGACCAGTTCTGCCTAGGGTCATGGAAATACATGTACTTGAGGTAAGAGAAATTTGGGGGTAGAACACAGGGAACCATTGAAGAAACTGGACATAGCAAGGACAATAAGGCAGGAGAAGAATTTAAAAATGATTCTGAAGTTTCCAGCTTGGCAAACATAAAACACAGTGATGCCAAGTAACAGAATCTAAGGAGAACTCAGGGAGGTTCTGGATGGGGATTAAACAGTAAGTGGGAAGTTTGGACGTGTTTTGTCTGACATGCCTATGGTAGACTGTATTACTGGTGCCAAATACTTCTGTGCCCCTCCCTGGAGGAAGATTATACAGTTCCACCCAGCTATCACAGGAGTGGCCATGTGAATGCTTTGATGATAAAATGTGGCACTTCAGGGCAGAAGCTTTAAGAGCCAGCATACAGCTTGTCTTGTGACTGGCAAGGTTCCAGATGGATTCTTTCAGCCTGGGTTCCAAAGGGAGGACAACAGGGTTGCAGCTGCAGTAGGGCCACAGTGACTGTGTAGTATGAACAAGAAATGAATCTTTGCTAGCCACAAGGATGGGTTCTTGTTATCACCACCACACAGCCTGGTCTGTGGAGACTGGTGCATCACGCACAGAGTATCTGAGTGAACATGTCTGGTAGATAATTAAAAGTACAAATCAAGAGTCTGACAGCACAATCTAGGGCAGAAATATAGATTTGAAGTTAATAAGTGAGCCTAGAAAAGTGGATGACGCTGAAGACAGAGTTATTAAGAACAGGAAAAGGGTCACTGAGGGGCTAGAGAGATAGCTCAGTAGTTAAAGAACACTTGTTCTTTCGAAGACCTGGGTTTGGTTCCCAGCAACCACACTCCCCACACCCATCTGTAAATCCAGTTTTCAGAAATCTGCCCCCCTCTTCTGACCTCTGTGAGCAACAGGCATGAATGTGGTGCACATATATACATACAAACATATATACATGAACCAAAACACTCATACACATTAGATAAATAAATCTAATTTTCTTAAGTAAAGATAATCTGACTTTACTCACAGAGGTGAGTAAGAAGTCATATTGTTAAGGCCAGAGAAGGCTGTGTTATCACAAGTGTGGCTAAGAGGTCAGTGTGGGACTCTGACTTGGTAGGATATGAAGATACAGAGGCAACACTTCGGTTCTCTCTTGAATTTCCTACTTCCTGAAAATCTAAGTATGAAGTTTGAGGTGAGGGTACACTTCACAGCAAGTCAGGTGATTATTCTTCTAAAAGAAAACTTACAAAAGCAAAGGTAGAAGAGCGCGCGTACACGAGAGAGAGAGAAAAGAGTAAGAGATGTTTACTGAGAATTGAACAACCTTTGTAACATGAGAAGGTGGCCATGCAATAAGAAAGATGAGGGTCTGTGAGTTGGTTCAGTATCTAATGACCTGCATTCCATCTCTGGAACCTAGATATAAGTTGTCCTCTCTCTCACACATACACATACACTCTCTAAATTAACTCATTAATTAAATACAATTTAAATTTTTGAAAAGAATGAGGAAGGAGACAAAAAAGCACATTGGAAAGGAGAGGATAAGTAACCAAGAAAATCCATGCCTTCCAGGTCCCATCTTCCCAGTAAACAGAAGGTAGGATTCAGAAGGCAGTTGTGATCACCACAGTACTGTCTGTGCAGAAAATAGGTCTTTATTAGCATTAAGACACCAAGGATAGAGACCAACACTTATGGGAAATAAAACAATAAAAAAAAATCACAGCATTTAAGGTTTAAAGGTTTGCTCTCATGTGTTTATAACACGGTTCACGACAAAACAAGTGATTTGTTCAGCCAGCAACTCTCATCAGCCTGAGAGTGAAGCAAAGTAAATAAATAAGCAAGTAGATATATTTTGGAGTTGGAGGCAGGTAAGAGGCATGTTCGGAGAACTGGAGATACTGGTCAGAGTACAAAGTAAACTAAAGAATTGGAACCTTCAATCCTGAGTGATGGTAAAGAAGAGAGCTGTAGGAAAGAAAGATAGCTCAGGGTCTGGAGAAAGCTCAGCGGTAAACTGCTTCCCACCATATTTGAGGCCCTGAGCTCCATTCCCAGCACTGGGAGTGGTGGCAGATCATCCAGGTCCTGGATTCCTCGCCACCCCACAGTGAACTGCATGGATAGCAAGTTTACAGTAGAGCAAAGAAGAAACCATGACAATAAAAGATGGCTGACAGGGTATTTTCTGCTTCAATTTTAGGCAAGCATTCAGATAATCTGTATTATCAAAATCTAAGAACTACTACTGAGTCAGAGTAGAACAATAAGTGAACAAAAATTTAATATAAACTGATTAGTAGATCTGGGGACTGTAGGGAAAAGAACTTGGATCTCTTGCAATTGACAAAACAATAATAAACATCTCATCCTTGGAAAAGAGACAGTTTTTGAGCTAGAAAATAATTGGGGGAGCCAGCAAGCTTACATGATTAAGCAACAGAAAAGATCTGGTCCTTGCTATGCCTGGACAAGATGAAATAATGTCATGAGAAACAGTAAAAAAGAGGTCATCCAACATAATATTCTTATAGCTTACCCACTTTAAACATAAATATCAAATCATAAATAAAATCAATGGAAAATGTCTCTATCAAGTGCTGGGAATTATACCCCAAATTAACACTCATTTATTAATTTACTCTTCACCATACTTCATGAAATAGATTCTATTTTTATTTGTTGTGTTTTGTTCTTTAGACAGCAACTCATGTGGCCTAAGCAGGCCTTGGACATGCTATTTCACTGAGGCTATGTATCAGGAACTGAACACAGGGCTTTCAGCATGCTGGCTACATCTCCGGCACTTGCTTTTTCCTTTGACAAGATCGGGCGCGTTCAGGGTGGTATGGCTGTAGACTGCTTTTTCCTTTTGAGACAGGATAACTCAGACTAGCCTGCAACTCATGATCTTCCACTCCCATCCTCCCAAATGCTGGAACTGCGGCTATGTAACCACCATGCCTAGATGCTGTTCACCATCACATTTTTTTTTAAGATTTATTTATTCATTATATATACTAGAGTGTTCTGTCTATATGTATGCCTGCAGGCCAGAAGAGGGCACCAGATCTCATTACAGATGAGCCCTGAGCCATCTCTCCAGCCCCTCATCAGCACCTTTTACAGGTAAGAATGGTCTTCAGTTTATGAAAGGATTATACCCAATAAGATCATTATAAATTAAAATTTTCATAAACAAAAATTCACCTACTCCATATACCCTTCTGAATATCACAGTTAAGCAGTATAGCACACTGTAGACTATCGACTGTTTACTCATATGAGGGTGGCTGCATTGCGAGACAATACTGTACTGCCTATTGCCTTCCAGGACATTATCAAATTCAAAACTTAAAGAGCAGTTACTACAGAATGCAGACTGATTTCACAGTAACATCAAACTGGCAATTCCAAATCCTGGAGCTGGAGAGATGGCTCAGTGTGTAAGGGCACACGCTTCACAATCCTGAGGACTGAAGTTTGGATCACAGCACCCACATCACAAAATAAGTGTCCCAGTAAATGCCTGTAACGCTGGGTCTGAAGGGTACCAGAGACAGGAAGAACACTGGGGTTCACCAGCTTCTAGCCAAGAAAATATGAGTCCCAGGTTCAGGGAAAGACCCTGCTTGCTTCACAGGAATTAGCAGAGACAAATAGAGGGGAACACTGACGCCCTCTTCTGGCCTACACACATTTACATGCTCAAACACTCACACAGACACACAAATGAATAAATACACACATACATACATGAATGAAAAAATCCTAAGTCAAATTATAAGTTTTCATGTGGCTTAGAGAAGTGAAGTCTCTTGTGTGTGGTTAATAAGTATGACACCATAGTCATTTCAAGTCACTATCCCAGTGATATAAAATCACCAAGGACATTCTGCTTTACACCCTAGAACTATCACTCATGCTTTAGCAGTAAAAAGCAGCAAAAAACACGTGTGAAGCCCTTGGTTTGATGTCCAGTAAACACACACAGCACCCCATTTTGAAGTATTACACCGTAATGTACCTGACATGTCTCTTCTAGCCACCACGCCTCAGCAGTACACAAACAGCCCTCATGGTTGGTCAGTGCTGACGCTGACTGCCAACTGACAAGGTCTACAATCACCTAGGAGACATATCTCTGGGCGTGTCTGTAATAGAGTCTCGAAATTAGGTTAAATTTCAGTTTTGTTTTTTTGAGACAGGGTCTCTTTGTATAGCCCTGGCTGCTCTGGAACGCTCTCATCAACCAGGCTGGCCCCAAACTCATAAAGACCCACTGCCAAATCCACTACTGCCCGGCAAGACACATTCATTTTTAAAACTCCTGTTATCCAGAACTTGCCATCTAAGTTCAATTTAGTCACTAAATTACCATTAGACACAGCCGGTTTCAGAGAAATTCACTGTCTACATCTACTCAAAACCACAGTCACTGCCACAGTCAGAGGAGGAAGCTCTCAGCACGACTTCTTACCCTTTCTGTTTTATCTGCACAGAAGAGGCGTGTGTGATGTCTCTTTTGCACCACAATGTAGGTTATTCCTGGTCGATAGTCTTCCTCCAAGCTTATACATGCCTTTCGAATTGCTATTAGCTCCGGCCAAGCTACCTAGGAGACAGAAGGGGAATTTTGTTTGACGGAGGTCTTAGTTCTCAAGCAGCAAGCTGAAGAGTGCTGGGAGGAGGGCACGGGGCTGATGGGAGCACCTGTTTCATCTGTCCCTCCGACACCCCTCCACGGTAGTAGATGATGCGAGTGGGCTTGAAACGTGTGGACTTGTAGAATTGAATCAGCAGCTCCCGAGCCATGCTCGTCAGGTCCTGCACAACCTCCTGACTGTAGAGGAGCTCCTGGGCAATCTCCTGCCGAGACGTCTGCACCCGCACTGTGGCACAGTATCGGCTAGGGTGGCCGTCCATGCTGCCCACCACAGCTGCAATAGAAGGCTTCTTCCCATCCCCAGCAGGTGGATGAGTGACATCTGCTCCCAGGAAGATGACAGGCTGCTGGAACACTGAAGGCCTGTCCAGATTTAAGAAAACAGTGCCACTCAAAACATATGGGTACAAATTTTTGAGTCTAAAAAAATATATCACCAGGATAACTGCCATCTTAGAAAAGAGGACCTATGCCCGTTAGGAAAGAACACGAACTTTCCAAAACCCAAATCTCTTTAAGTTGTGAAATTTAAAGAAGAGAATCAAATTCATTTTTTCTGTTTTATTTTATATATACTTATCAATTATATCCTATATTTTACTTATTTATTTTATTTGCACACACAGACCCATACAAATATAAACCCTACAAGAGTAGGAATTTTATTAAATCTTGGTCATTACTAGTACCTAGAACATTCCTTAGCTCATACTTGGCACTTGGTAAATATCTGTTAAAAACACAAATTCATTCCATGTCACTGATTCCTCTATCTGTGGAATCAAAGAAAAATATGAGTGCTTTTCTGGTAAAAGCTAGACAAAAAAAATCCAGGCATGGTGGTATCTATAAGTCAACACTCATGTCAGTGGGTGGAAGCAGGAGGACAGGTAGTTGGAATATCATCTTCAGCTCTGCAGAGTCCAGTTCAAGGCCAGCTTAAGATACATGAAACCCGATCTCAAAAGGAAGAACATGATCCAGACATGACGGCACATACCTGCAGTTCCTAAGACTTACCTAAGCAGGTACATTTTGGCCTGAGTGGGCCAGTCTGGTCTACATAAAAACACTTTGTCTCAAAAAATAAATAAATTTTTTAAAAGACATAAGAGAATAAAGAATATACAAGAGGGGCTGGAGGTTAAGAGCACTGACTGCTCTTCCAGAGGTCCTGAGTTCAATTTCCAGCAACCCACATGGTGTCTCACAACCATCTATAATGAGATCTGGTGCCCTCTTCTGGCCTGCAGGCATACATGGAGGCTGAACACTGTGTACATAATAAGTAAATCTTAAAATATATATATATATGTGTGTATATATGTATATGTATATGTATATGTATATGTATGTATATATATATATACAAGATCAAATTCCAAGCCTAAGGTGTTCCAGAGGCTGAAGAGATAGCATGGTCAGGGGTCAAGATGGTAGATGGTTCTTCCAGAGCATCTGAGTTAGTTCCTAGCATCGACACTGGGCAGCTTACAGCACCTATAACTGCAGCTCCAAGGGGATCTGACATCTCTAGCCTCTGTGAGCACTTGTACTGGTGCCTTCATGTGCACGTGATAACACCTTCTGCACACATGTGTACATAATTTAAAAAATATATAAGAGGGGGCTGGAGAGATGGCTCAGTGGTTAAGAGCATTGCCTGCTCTTCCAAAGGTCCTGAGTTCAATTCCAGCAACCATATGGTGGTTCACAACCATCTGTAATGAGGTCTGGTGCCCTCTTCTGGCCTTCAGGCATACACTCAGAAAGAATATTGTATACTACATAAATAAATAAATAAATAAATAAATAAATAAATAAATAAATAAATAAATATTTTAAAAAAATATATAAGAGGCAGGTAGATCGCTGTTGAGTTTGAGGCCAGCCTGGTTTACAGAGCTAGTCTCAGGAAGGCAAGGGCTGCTACACAGAGAAACCCTGTCTCAAAAAAACAAAACAAAACAAAACAAAAAAACCAACCAACAACAATGACCCATAACAGAGACAGATAGATAGATAGATAGATAGATAGATAGATAGATAGATAGATAGATAGATAGATAAAACTATTGAACTAGCGCCTTACAAAAGATGCCTCCAAATTAAATCGAAACCCAAACATGTTTAGCATCACTAATCAGGGGAAAGCAAATTGAAATAATAGTATGATATTATTTCTTATAATAAAAATGGCTAAAATTAAAAGTACTGCCAAGTAGTGATAAAGATATGGAATGAGGAGCAACGCAGGCGCCCGCAGATAAGCGACGTTGCCGCAGGCAGGCAACGCAGGCGGGTAACGCGTGCTGCGGCCGGGACCTGCAGGGACTGGCGCTGCGACAGAGGACACAGGTGGCAGGGACCAGCGTGCAACACCGAGAGCAGACTTTGGTTGGCGAGGTCCCTGGCAAACGGGGAGCCGGGTCCTGTTCCTGAAGACCCTTCTGAGGGGTGAGAGGGATCTTGGCCCTGGGCAGGAGCCAGGAAACAGAGTGAGGGCGATTTGTAAGAGAAGCCTCTGGCCGGCAGAGAAACCTGATCCGATTTTAGAAGACTGATTAGATAGTATCGATAGGAGGAGATGGGCAGGCGCCAAGGCAGAATTTCACCCAATAATCCGAAAAACAACATGAAAACACCAGAACCCAAAGATCTTACAACAGAAGGACTTGAACACCCTAACACAGAAGAAGTGGAAAAAATTGACTTTATGAAAGCAATAAAGTCCCTTAAACAACATGTAAAAAACACCCTTATAGAAATGGATGAGAAGTATAACAAAAAGTTTGAAGAATTAAGTAAATATGTACATGAGACCCTGGGAAACCAAGAAAAAACGATCAAACAGGAAATGGAAACAGTTCAAGAATTGAAAACTGAAATGGAAGCAAGGAAGAAAACACAAATTGAGGAACAGCTGGATATGGAAAATCTAGGCCAACGAGCAGAGCCTACAGAAACAAGCATAATCAATAGAATACAAGAGATAGAAGAAAGAATCTCAGAT